GCTTCTGCAAGAAGTATCTAGGCCAATTATGAAGGTCCCTGCAGCACTGTAAGGAAAGACAATTCTGAGGTAGCCTATCCATTTTTAGAGAGGCTCCTTTTCTTAATTAAGAATAGAATAGAAATAAAAATAAAAATATGAGGGCATAATCCACACACCTTAATTTTTCCTCCTTGTCTGCACATTTAAGACTTTGGAAGATTAATTGAAATCTTAAGTAAGAGGTTCCATCTCATCTGCCACGCTGAAATGAAGGACATTTGTATCATTTGTTTCACGGAATTTGAGCTTCAAACACCCTCCAATGTTTCACAAACACACACAAAAGAGTATCAACAAATCTAAGTCCAATAAGACCAAACCAAACAAGACCACAGTAACTCATTACTCTTTTGGGTTTTTTTTTCTAATGAGCAAGGTGTAAAGGCTGCCAGCAATGGAACAAATCTGCAAGTCTTCACTATTTTGCTAGTGGGAATACAACTTTTAGCATCTCAGGCTCACTCCATCGTTAATACATCTAGTTAACATGAGCTATTACAATCACCTATGTGAATTAAGGAAAGTATCAGGGTTTTTTCTTTAGGCTTTTCAAAATAAAAAAAGAACACACTAGTAGAAATTGCTCCTTAGTAGAATTTATAAATTGATTATAATATGAGCAATACAAAATGCCTCTCCTGTAGGTTAAATTGTATTAAATGCAGAAACATGCACCTAAAAGCCTGTGTGCGCTAGACTACCTCATCTGGTTAAGTTTCTAAACATGTAGATGAGCAACCCACTTTACGGTTTCCCATGAAATCTTTAAGCTTTATATGCAGCACCACAAAAATCTCATCCTATCATTTCATGTACCTATTGATTTGACTTTAATTTTAGTGAGAAACTGTTTAGTTTTAGCATGTAGCATTTCCTCGCATTACTGTAGCATTTCAAAGCAGCTGTAGTCAGGTGGCAGAACACAGGTCACAGTCACGTCACCCCCTACTACTTCTACTGCTACTGGGTGTAGCACTGCTGTTCACCAGGGCTGGGCTATTCGCCCCCATCGAGGTGCCCTGAGGGCAGCAGGTGTCCTGTTCCCTGACGTAAAGGACATAGGTAGGGGGATAAAGGCATAAGGCCTGGAATGCTTTAACTATTCCAGCGAATCAGGTGGGATTTGAAGCCATAAGGTTGGTCATTTAGAGATGTAGGTTTGGGAACCACACTCCCACAACCCTCACTGATGCCACTACATGCTTTGGATTACGTGAAGTACAGTAACTAAGAAAAGCTTGGTTTTTTACAAGCCTCTTTTAACATGCAGAGTTCTATGTATCATCTAGTGAAGCAACAGTGGAAAGATACATCACACACCAGGCATGTGATCTTCACCCATCCCAGCCCTCTGCCTTTTCCTTTCCTCTACAAAATGTTTATCTGAACAACTGTATGAAAAACTGCATTGTACAGCTAAGCATGCCTCATCCAGTTAATGAAAGCACCTCTTAAAAGCTGTAGGTTAAAGAATTAGACCATTTGATAGGCAGATGCACATCCGCATAGTCCCTGTGCAGTGTCTGACTGCCAGAATCATTTTGTTTGCACTGAAACGCAGTGAGAAAGAACAGGAGGCAGCCTGCGGCTATCCTGATTTGGAGTTTGCTCCTGTCAAATCCCAGTGCTCAGCAAGGGCTGATTTGCATAGTGTTTGCATGGGAGAGCATCAGGCAAAGTCCAAGTTTCCAAAGAGAGCAAGACTAGTAACTTAGTCATTGGTGAGTTAGTAATGGTCAGAAGGGCTGTCAAAAGGGATAAAAACCTTCAAATAAAGTATCGAAGAGGTTTCAGTTACTTGTAGTGCCAAGGAATACTGCAAGAATAGATCTTTTTACTCTGGAGTGCAGTTCTAAAGTAGTTGTATTGCTTTCAGCTACTGTTGACAGCAGCTTCAAAAAATAGTCTGCATTTTAAAATTGTACAGTAATAGCTAACATGATGCAAGGGCTTTCCTTTTAACACACGCTTGCAAACTGCAGCGCCTAACAGGCAGCGCCTAACAGGCAGCGCCTAACAGGCAGCGCCTAACAGGCAGCGCCTAACAGGCAGCGCCTAACACCAACTGTTCCATAGATTCCTATTAGAGATTTATCCTCAGTGGTATTTTACCAATTTAGTGCTAATGCACAAATTGAGTAGTGTATGTATATTTATTTATTTACTTACTTATTTTATTGCACTGTTAAGAATTCTCCAATATCCTATAGCAGCAACTGTAAGGACTACTATGAAGATAAAAATTAATTATTCATCTACCATTAATATCACATGCTTCTTAGGCAGACATTTAAGTAATAACGTGACTTATTCATACAGCCAGCTTCATGAATGGAGATAACATTTGTACATCCATTTTCATCTCCATCATCTTAATGCAAAATACAAAACAGAACTTCTTAACCCTAATACAATGTGTTTCATTGCAAGTTTGCTTTTGCTATGTACTGCCATAGAAATCTGCTCTCCTAGGAGAGCTCCACAACACAGAGGCCATGGCAGCTGTTCAGAATACACCCCTTAAGACACACTCCCCAGTACTTCCTTATTACAGTAACACCAGAACAAAAACAATATCCACAGAGAGAGCGCTCGCAGAGGCTCTGCACAGCTTTGGTACTTCAGTAAGGTTCTTGTATACCATCGTGCTAGAGATTGGAGGACAAGTCAGGAACAAAGGGGAAAACAGTTTATTTTATTACAGCTCCAGTAGGAAACAGATAGAATGACACAAAGTATTCCCTCACCTGCTAGTTCTAATACTTATGTGTCCTGACTTGCCTCAAATGACTCAAAAAAAATCCAAAAAAAACCCAAAAAAACACCCCATGCACCTGAAAATTGAGTAGTAATTCTTAAGTATATTCCCAAGTCTTGGAAAATACCAAGAATGAAAAGAAAGTGACTAGGCAACTCATTGAGATACCATGCCAAACAAAGTGGGTTCATTTAAACAGACTTCTCTCCACCTCAAGAGTTTCAATTGGTTAAGAATAATTGCAAAACAAGCCCTAAAAGGACATATTTGGCTACAGAACATAAAAATCATTCTTCATTGTTCACTGTATCCTGTTACCAGCTTGAACATAATTTTAGCTACTGATTTGGTGCTTTTTTGTTTTGGCAATCAGATGATATTAACTTCCCCTTTGTTTTTTCTGTTCCTGTTTGTACACCTGCACTCTCAATGGGCAAACAGCAACAGGATTAGAATTTTACAGTTAGCCTAGTACTCTACATCTGTAAAGAACAGAATGACAAAATACTTCCAAAGCCCTGGGGGACAAAAAAAAAAAACCACCCAAAACAAAACAATAACCTTCACTTCTAACTTTAAGATCGAATTGTAGTCCCCAAGTAAAATAATTTTTAAATAAAAATAAAAATATCGTCTGCTTCAAATGTAAAATTCACAATTCTAACTACCTGTTGTGAGGTAGCTAACACCCCAAGTACTGATTCTTCAGCTGCATATTTTGAAGTGCAGACTAAGAACATCCCACTTAAGGGCATTCTAGAACAATATTCGGTTGAAGTCTCTTCTCATACTAAGTTATGAGCTATTTAACTGCTCCTGAGTATTAGAGATTCAGTACAAACCACAGTAGGCAGGTTACAAACTGATAGGAGCAGTAAAGCTTGCTTTGCCCCTTGCAGTCCCAGGCTGGACTCTAGCCACTCTCAGCACAAACTAAAATCCTACCACATAGCAGCAGGATAAGCCTGCTAACTGCTTGTTCAATTTCAAATGTATTCTCATCTGAGAACAGTCCCATGTACCAGAAAAGTGGAAAAAAAATTACCTAATGGCCTCAGGTGCAGAAATGTCTCAGCCTGTATCACTAGGAAATTATCTGAACAAAAGAAAACCTGATTTGAGTAGGTGAACACTCTCAAGGTGTGTCAGACTACATAGCTATTCATGACTAATTCATTAATTGTGGTAACATGCTTCTCCATTACATTCAAAGTACTGCCTTCAGAACCGGCTCATCAGAACATCCTCAGTGACGGCAAAAGGTTTATGAAGTATCTGCCTATCCACTAAGGGTACAGGCTGTACTACCCAGACAGCCCAATATACTTGCTTCAGCACTTGTCAGCTGTCACACAGTTAAGACTGTTTTCAGAATAAACAGCTCAAATTCCTTTCCACAAAATAAACTTTCAGGACTAGAAAAAAAGTTTTTTAAATCTATAAACTTATCCTGTTGTTGAACCAGAGATTCAGAATTTTGTATTGTGTTCTGTTCTTCTGAGCAAGTTTCAGACATTCCTTTCTTATCCAGAATTGGAAGGTTCTGGTTCTGTCAAGACTGTATCCATAATGGCATAATTTTGGGCAATCTGACACATGGAGCTGAACTTTATTCAGTCTGAGTTTAAATACAGATTACAATACTGCTGTCACAGAATTAATTTGTATTTTTTACTGGTGAATACAGAATATAACATGAGCCCATCCAAGTACAGGTCTCAGGAAAAAATTCAAGAAGCAAGTTAGAAGGTGCAACTCATATTGATGCTCTAATTATTCCGTCCTCTTCTACTAACAGCAATTAAAAGATGAGGGCTCATTTCACTAGAAATACTTTGTAACCTCCACTAACTCCAATTCTTTATAATTTAAAATGCACCACTACTAATGTATAGACCAATAGAAGCTCTGCTACAGAACAAGGACTTGTAACTATGTAAAGACAAGCTTTTAGTTTAGTATTGTGAAGATGCAGGCCCACTTATCCTAATCCATCCCATTAGTGCCACCTAACTGCTTAACATCACTATAGCTCCACACAGAACACTTTTTTGTAGCTGTACACAGCTACAAAGTAAATAGACCCGATGTGACCTTGTCACAATTAAGTCTTGATTTCAGGAAGGTTAGATTGTCCAGAAACACCGTATCACCCCTCGCTTTCAGTGAAGAAGGATGTTCATTTTGTCTAGAACAATACCAAATATGGGAATAAGTAGCCACAGTTCTCCTGTTTCCGCTCAAGTGTTCCTAGAATGAACCAAGAATAAAAACATACAGCTACAGGAAGAAACCACTGCTGGTCATGAACTTATTCTGCATACTGAGATCAGGTCTCTGTGGAGTGGGTGTGCTGGTATTTCAAGCATTAGGAGCCCTGGAACCAGAATTCCTATTTACCACTAGAAAAGCTTTAAAGACTAATACTCATGGGAAAAAGTCAGCTGTGTCACTGGCACTAGGAATTGGTAAACTAAGTATTCTTTTCGATAATAAAAATGTCAGTTAGCAATATTTCTATCTACATTAAGTAATTAATCCACTCTCTACTACTGTGTGCTACTTAAGTTTAACCACTTGATAACGTCACGCATTTCATTAAACATTCCTGAGACTGAGGTCAAGGCCAGTGGAGAGTACAGTATATTCTGTAGAGCATACATACTCTGTGTATTTGAAAGCAGCTTAAGCAAGAACAGATCAGTCATTATCAAGCATAAGCTGTTAATCACATAACATCATATATCCTGACTTGTTATTGAAAGTAAGTATTAAACTAGGCAATTTCTTATTTTCTCCAGTACATTGAATCTAGTCCTCTATTGCCACACACATAAAAATTATTACATAGTGCTGTAAGACAAGAGTGAGAGTTATAGACAAATAACTAAGCTACTTCAGAAAACAGACTTAGTTTCTGGAAATAGGTACTCAATACATATCGAGTTCCACATATCAGATACTCGGGCACTGTCGAGTCCTCTTCCACTTGGCTAAGTACACTTTTGATATGACTTGCTCTGCTGGATGATCATGCCTTGGATTCGGTGGCTGCAACCGAATGCTGGGACAAAACACAAGTGAAACACAGCAAAAAAGCAAAAGCAGTGGCCTCTCCTACAATGAAGTCATCCTCCCTTCCCCCCCACAACTCTGCTTTAAATGGAACTCAAGTTTTTGCTCATTAAAGATCAAACCTCAAATCAGACTTCCATAGATACAAGCAGTGTCATAACAAGACCTTTGTTACAAACAACACTTGAGTTCAGTCTGTTCTCCTAATTTATCTTTAAAAACACAACAAATAGCACAGTCTGTAGAAGTTACCGCATCTCAAACTTTGAGAGCAAAGTCTGATAGTCTATCCCTATAACCCAGAATCTCCAGCAGAATGGTACTTCGGTCCTTACAGAGTCCTGAAACATTGTTCCTGAAAGGACTTCACCTTCAACAGCTGGTGACACTGACCATCGAACAGAAACCGAGGGGCTTGCTGAGTCCCACCACTGAACTGGAAGAAAAATGCTCCTCCTCACACAAGCTCCATGTGCTAATCCCACCCCTTACGAGCACAACCAGCATGTGCGGGTTTTGAGCACCTGTAATGAGGAACTCTTGGCCACCCAAAGGAGAAGTGGGAAGAGATGCTTTGCAAAGCCAACAGCCACTGCAGAGCAAGTAAACAGCTAAGAGTTGGGTACAGTTCAGGGTGGATTTAGGCACCTTTAGCTCTTTTGCCATAGACATCTCAGCAGGTGTAAGTCACTACCATGTAGCAGCAGGCCTATACTTGCCCTTCCACCAGGGCAAATCAATCCCAAAAGGACACCTTACTCAAGTCTTATTCAAGTCTTGCAGATTACACAAAGAACAGCCGGAATACCCTTAAAAACTGAAAACATTCAAATTGCCCTGCCCTGAGAAGTTATTTTGACTTTTCTACTGCAAAGACCAGAATGTTTTTGTAGGAATCTTTGGTTTGCTGAATCTAGTAATTATTGACCAATATAGTAGCTCCCAGCATATATTTAAAGTTAAGGAGAAGCACTGAAGGCAGCTTTGGAAACTACCAACAATGCAGCACCAAGTCCTGGAAACTTGATTGTGCATAAGGCAGAGTTTTCAAATGGGGGGGGAGGAATCTACCTGAAGTAAATATGTTCTCAGTGGTGTTCCATAAGGTTGCTTTTGGTGACAGTGGAGTTACTATATTTTAATTTGTAAAGTCAAATATTTGTTTGCATGGATTAAGGCAATTCAAAATTTCAGAATTCAAGAACTAATCAAGGTACCAGAAGAACGGTGTAAGCAGAATATTATATGGTATAGAAGCTATATGTAATAAAATCATGCTTTGCAATACGTCGGTCTCCATAGTATCCAAATTTTTAATTCAAATTACTGTTTGAAAGATATCAGAAGTTTCCCGAAAGGAGTACTGTGTCAATCTAACTTGCCTCCATAAAAAAAAATTTATTATTGAGAAACAAAGAAAACTGTAAAACTAAATACGATACAAGAGTCTAGTACAATGATGGATCCCTCTAAGTATTTCTGCCCTAGATGATCACATCCTATCACTAGTTCCTTCAAAAACATGATCGGTGTTTAGATAGCAATTTGTAAGTGCCAATACAGAGACACTAGACATAATTATGCAAAAATCTGCATTTCATTTGTCTTACCAGAAGATACTGTAGAATTATTTATTAATTCAGACCATACAGACAGCTAGTATGTCTCTGTACTCAGAAAGCCAGGATGGGTGGTTCTGTAACTTTATATTTTTTCTGGAATGAATCTCATCAAATTTGAAATCCCTTATTCAATTTAAATATATTTCTAACCTAAGTATGACTGTTTTCAATTACTGCTTTAAATACTTTTGCAGGTTTCCCTTTCTGTAGGTATGCACAGAAAACAGTTGGGGATGCAGTACAGGAAAACAAATTCTTTCATGACTTACAAACAGACAAATCAAATTCTTCTCAAATAGTGAAAGAACAAAACAAATACTCAGAAGTATGCACTTGCTTTTGAGTACCACGAAATGGTCTTCAAGATTAGGTGTAATAGAAGTACTCCAATACGCCTCAAGAACATTGCTTTCACTTAGCAAATGAAGTATTTTCCAGTTCATATACCAAAACATCTGCAAGATAGTTCAGAATCTGAAACCTGAATGATCAAAAGGCGTTCAGTACATGCCAGAACTACAACAGCTCAAAGCCAAACAGCTAACAGAATGCTAATACTACATGTACACATGTTTACAACACCTAGGTAAACTTTTGTCCTTGACATTTACCTACTAACCGCCAGTGCAGTAGTAGCCTCATACCAAATGAGCTATCAAAGTCATAAGTCAAAGGACTTTAAATGTGTTGGCAGCATTTGTCAAAAGAAATTCAAGTACACTTGGTATCAGCGTACTTCTTTACCAAGTTGGGAATAACATAGGGTTAAGAGTTACTGCAAAAGCAAATTTGGAAGCACTTAAGCTGTGCAGACTTGTATCAGGAAAAAACAAAACAAAACAAAACAAAACAAGATGAGACAAATTCTTGACTACTGCTTGGCATTGCAAATATATTACTGACAAGAGGTCCCAACCTCTATCTTTCTGATTTTTGCTATCAGCAATATACAGCTGAAAGCACAGAAAGACATAAATCACTGCAAAAGGAAACAATGTGCTCTGGTAAACTGCCTAGAATTTAAAGCCTCACAAGTGTTGTGGAATGTCAGACTGAAAACAGAAGACTGTCCTAGGTGCAGGATCAAATGTCTGGCAGCATATTATTTCATAAAACACAAGCAACAAAGATTTAAAATCCTGAGTGTTAAGAACATTTGACATGTTTTACAAACATTATCAGGCTGCATTGTTCAGACTTGAATTCGACTTCAATGCTTAACTTACACAAGGCTGACTGAGAAGTGGTTACAGACTCAGGCTCAGCTGATGAAGGTGATTCAGTGAGTGGTTCTGAGCTGGCAAGAAAAAAAAACCCTCACACTTCCTGTGTAGGGACAAGTGCAGCTAGTCACTACAAGACTGCTTGAAGGATGCCAACAAAAACCTCTCATTAAGCCTTCAGATTGCTGAACAAAGCTTCAAAATAGCTTCTAGAGGCACACGCTTCTGCATAAACCACTTATGTTCCTTTTTTTGATGAAGCAGGCTACAGATCTGTCATCATGCCACCCCAAGAGTATAAAGCCATCGCCTTTTGCATTGTTCTGGCAGCAGCTGCTTCTGGTACCTAGGGTATCACCCAGATGATGGGAGAGCAGAGCACCAGACCTGTTTTACAGTTCTTTTTACACTTCCAGAATGGTGTTGGTCATGAAGCATGCTTGAGATCTGCTAGCATCTGGCTTTGAAGTTCATATTTAGTTGTTGAATTTAGTAAGTTGTGTTAGTTGGTAATTCTTCATACTTAAAAGGACATCTTAAATATGCTTCTCAATAGCTAGCACACTTGATCATACCTCCGACTCATGCTCCAATCACCAATACTGCTTTCCTTGTCAGCTCTCCCATTGACTTTGTTTAAAAAGGCCTTTTCAGTTTAAATTAGAGAAAATCAGTTCAGAACTATTTTTTAGAAATACACTTTACAGTTTATAAAGCAAATCTACCAATAGTTTTAACGCCAATTAAATGTTGCTTTGTCTTTAGAAAAAGATCCTTGACCATACCCCTTTTCCTAGACTATTTACATTAAATAATCTTGAGCTTAGACATACTTGTTGTTGTACACGAAGCAGTCGAACTCTAAAGCCACTGACACTTATATGAAGTATATTTAATAAAATAGGCAGAAAACACCTGTAAAGTTCAATGCATGGAAATGCTTTAGACTAACTTTTTCCTACCACGGTAACAGCTTATTCAAGCAGAAAGAGCAGACACCTGGTCTCCCCCCAGGGAGCATCTGCATTTTTTAAAAGGTGAGGGTAGGAGAAGGGGAGGAAATCAGTAGGTGGAGGATAGGAAAGGGAGAAGATGAAGATGAGTCAGGAGATGAGCGATAGCCGTACTTCCTGGGCAGGAAGTGATTGGCATCTCAGGAACAAGGGGGAAGGGAGATGGGAAAGACTGAACTGAGCCCAGGAAGGTCTGACTAAAATAAAGCTCTTCACACCCAAGCTCCCCCAGGAGTGCAACAGGAGGCCAAGATTGCACAGGAGGCCTAATGATTAGGTGAGGTGAATGTCTACACAACTTGTCAGAGTAAGAGACAGCTCTCGGTTCTGATCTTAAGATAGGGAGAAAACTCTTGTTTACTTTCTGCCATGTTTCATGATATTTGCAAGTACTCTTACATCCATGTAGCAGAAATAATAAAGTCAAACAACACAGAACAGATAGAGTCCTTTGGCTACAGTGCTTTCAAAAAATAGCAAGCAGCCCCTACAACTATAATACTTCTCCCTAAATAAGTGGGGAAAAAAGACACTTCTACAGAAGTAATAGGAATGCTGTCCATTTGCTAGTTACCAGCATCAATCAAAAAAGTTCCTTGGCAGACAACAAGAAAGCGAGGAAATTAATGTTTTCCAACAGATGAGAAAATATATAAGACAACCTTTATGTGATTCAGGTTTAGCCTTTTACATTAATGTAAACCTTTGTTGCTCAAATTCAAGGTGAGACTTCAGATACTAAAAAGCAGCTTCATTCAAAGAGTTAAGTGCAAACCAACCCTTTCTTGCCAAAGCCTATCTACGCCTGGTGATTTCTGTGTTTGCTGATGGACTAAACTATTTTCCAAATCCTTTTTTTTTTAAAGCAAACACACTCTTCCCAGTTTGAGAACTGCTGCTTTGATTTTACTCCTTTTAGTCTTGCACTATTAAAACGGGTTCTGTTCAGGGAGTTAATTACGTGCAAAATCCTTTTCTAACATAGCTCAATGCTTTCCAGTAGCCACATGCCATCTAGATCTAGAATGCAACTTCCTGAAAAAGGCAGACTGAAGTATTGCATTATAATGGCATTTTAAGAAACTGAAAAGCAGACCAATTTGTCATTTATAAGCCATGTATTATGGCGATCACCAGAACCAAAGGGTAAGCAAAAATCTGACAACCTGCAGGCCAACACAGTAAGGCAGATCCCAGGCTAGTCTCTACCAGCAGCAGAACTACAGTGATCCGCACCAGAACTCTTCATGTAACTACAGTAAACCCACTCCAAGAGTTACCTAGCATCCTTGGCAAAGAGCGAGGAGCTTAGGAGGAAAGATTACTTCTTATCTTTTCACTTGCTCTCTTCCTCATCAGGGGCAGTAACTGAAACCAATTAGGTTTTATTGATATAAAGGATTCTTCCTGAGCTTCAACAATGTTTAATTACATGTTCTCTATGTATACATTAGTAATACAAGCATACTACACTAGAAGGCAAATTAAACACACAGGGACTTCTGATTCCTTATGCTGACACTGGGAATAGAAAAGTATAAAAACATTTACTGTTCGATATAACTTGGATAGAGTAGCACATGACCATTTAGAGTAATGTCATTTTCACACTAACTCCTAAAACTGGGAAAAGATTAAGTTAGTATTTATGAAGGAAATATATTTAAAATTATTACATGAGGAGCTGAGAAGTTTTCTCTAGAAAACTAGAGATGTGCAACTTCTTAGTGCTTCAAGCAAGGAAATACACTTCCCATGTTACGATGAGAACACTAAGATTTTACTGAGAACTCAGTAAAAGCTTTACAACATTTCACCGGTTAGCTAACACAAAGGCTCTACAAAGCCCGGTTTAACTTTCCCCATTCCACATATGCAACAAAACTTGAAGGCGAGGCAGTAAGGCTAGGGCATGTTATCCCTTCAAGTTAAATAAAAATGGATTCAAATAACTTAAGCTCCTAATATAGCGTTGCCACCTCATTTCTCTCACAAGCTGGTTACCTATGGAAGTATGAAAAAAGCAATTCTGGAAGGAAAATGAAATTAGGAGAAAAATGCTTTAGGTGTACCTGCTTACACAATCACATGTTTAGTTTTCAGCTGCAAAAGCTGCATTTGGAATAAATTGCTCAGAGACATTGTGGCTGCCCCCTCCCTGGAGGTGTTCAAGGCCAAGTTGGACAGACCCTTGAGTAGCCTGATCTAGTTGAGAGGCATCCCTGCCCATGACAGGGAGGTCGGACTAGATGATCTCTAAGGTCCCTTCCAGTCTAGGCCATTCTATGATTCTGTGATTTGGGTAACACTCTGCACAAATTAGTGTTTTCTGAAAAAGTGCTCTAACATACGCAGCATATCCATAAACCACTCCAGAGGTCTCAGCTATGAAGACAGAGACAAGCACGCACACAATGTAAACCTAAACAAAGCACCCCAAGTATGAATCGCCAGCTTTGCTATTGAACATGCTACTGTCCTTTATTATAGTTTATGCATCAGCCAGACAGAAACACCATATAGCTGAAAGTATTTTCCACTAATGTACCTCTAGACATAATGCAAAGCGCATGCTGTTATCTTCTCTACTATTCCACATTTGGCAGAAAGCAAGGTTTAGGCTTATGCTACTCTCTACAGCATGAGACAGAAGAGCACCCTTCAAATACAGAAGCATCAGTGACTCGTTTGTGACCTTCCCACAGGAAAAAGACTTAAGATAGTATAACGTCCCAGCTCACATCACACACCAGCTATTTCAGGACCAAATTCTAAAGGGTAGCAAGTCCTTTCAGGCTAATTGGGTCATTATAATTTCTGCAGGCTTTCACAGGCACTACCTGTAGTGAATCTTGTGAGACTGGATTATAAATAGCTTGACATCAGTAGAGGTCAGATATATTGAACCACTATGAAAAGGTTCCTTTTTAAGAATCAACCTTCCTTGTTGAAGAGGTAGAAACAGGAATACATTAAATATGCCCAGATAAAATGCACTGCTGACTGCAGTGCTACAGAAAAATGCTTAGCATTGAAATGCTGGTTAAACATAACATATGAACTTCCCCCGCCCCTTAACAATAGTGAATTAAACAACTCTGGCTTGCCCAACAACTTGTGAGTTACTCCAGATATTGCTGAACTCGCCTTCTCTTGGAGCATTCCCTTCTCCCTCTCCCTAACAAAGGGGTGCAAAACAGGAGCAGAGCTAACCTAGAACAAAGATTATGCAAAAGCAAGCAAAGATGATCACTGATAGGTTGTTGGGATATTTAGTTGGTTTTGTTTGGTTGGGTTTTTTGTTGCTGGTTTTGGTTTGCTAGGGTATTTTTTTGTAAATATGGTAGCAGTTTATGCCTTAGAAACAGTACTATGTTTACTGACTGATGTTCTATGTTTTATTATTAAGAGAGTCAAAGACAGCTGACAGTACTCAGGGGAACAATCTTTCCCTGAAGACTGCAGAGCTAATTTAAATGAAAGGTTCAAGATCACATTGTCACATTAACATGACAAGATTATTTTTGTAACATGATACAGATTGTCTATCCAACTCCAGATGAGAGCCTTCAATGCATCTCCACAACAACCTAACAACACTATGAAGGTCCAAACTCACAGTATAAAAGCAAAAGTTGCATAAAGATCACCTGACTTTACATCTCACTCCAAGCAAGTTTCAGCTGAGTTTTGTTGAGCAGTTTCGTGAACATTAACGATCCAGTCCTTCACTGGAGTGGGACTACTTTAAACTTACATAACACACATTTTTGAAGACTTAAAAGTTGCAGCTAAGCTCTTAGAGGCTCAAGTTTATTGTGAAGTTTAAAAATTGAAATGCAAAGTTCACAGAATGGGTGCACTCCAAGCGAAAAAATTTCAACAGCTGCCACACATTCCTCAAAACTGTCATCAGCTTTAATGCAGTTTTTCCCCACTGTTGCTTGTTCCCTCTTCGTACTGCAACACACAGCCATGAAACAGCTCACCCATTCCATGCCTGCAGATCTCCTCCTGAAACCACACCATTAACCGGATACAGATATTGATCTGGATTAAAAATAAAACAGGAAAAATGTGTATATATAGTGCTAAGTCACACAGCGCAGCACAATCTTGCCAGCAGACCTGAGCAGGGCAATGCACTGTGGCACAGAGGCTACAGGAGGCACATTTACATCAGTGTCACCTTCATACGCTCTGCTGCATCAAGTTGCCCAGGAAGCATGGAAACACAACTGATGTCAGTGGTAACTGGCACCCTACACTGTGGGTCCTGTCAGAACAAAAAAAAAATTGATTCTAAGGTCTACAGAGATGATATGGCAGAAAAGACTTAATTTATAGAATAAGGGAAATAGAATAAGGGAATTTTTTTATGCAGCACAGAGAATGAGTATAAAATTTCAGGATATGAGTACCATGATTCACGTTCCTTACAGTAATTTTAAGTCCTGACAGGCAATTCTCCTGTCAGCTTTCTAAGTTAGAAAATACTACCTTCTAATGATCATCAAACAATTGTTTAGGCATAATTCTTCAGAAAAGCAGTACTTTTGAAAACAAACAAAAATATTTTGTGACTTTTCTGTAATCATTACTTACAAAAAAATCTTAAAAATACATTTCACATTAGCTTGAGATCTCACAGCGAAAAGATTAATTCAAGACTACTTCAATATCAAATTAAAAGCTGCAGAATAACTGCCTGAATAGTTTTGTGAAGAGGGTATCTTGTGAAAGGAACTATTTCACTTACTTTGATATAGTAAAACTCAGCAAGTATGTTACTAATTCATTATAAATATTTACAAGAAGTATACTTTGACTAAAATCTTTCACTAAAAAGGAATTAATGGAATCCACAGTGGATCAACTGACATACTCACTGATCTCAAAGTACTGTTGTTAACAGGAAGACATCTCTGAAGGACCTGCAAGGACAGCCTCCCAAACCCATTTATGTCAGCCACCCAGGCAATGATACATAACCTCTATCAGGAAGTCTTCAAGTGTTACAGGTGGCTGTGACCTAGCAAGTATGGAGGAGCAAAGATCACAATTAGAGTCAACCTGAATCACCTGGCTAAACAATAAACTCAAAAGGAGTGCAGGTACCTATCTTAATGAAAGCTCCTTACCAATAACAGGTTAAAGCTACTGTTAACGCTACTGGTATCACTATCCCTGACTGTGACAGAAATTTTAGCTTCCTAACCCCCATAATGCTTTATTTAAAGAAAATACTTGTACTCAACATAAGTGTAACCTAGGTTGTCTCAGGAAGTCAAAATATAGGCAGCGCTAACAAGAGAGGCATCCTTGAAAAGATGTTGGGAGCAAAATGCCCAAGCAAACACTCCACATGAGTCAGTTAAGCTCAAAATACACAAGGACTAGGTTGGTCAGTCTTTGAAACTTAACCTTAGCTAAGCTTTAGTAGGAACAACACAAAAGTTCTCCAAGCATCTTAACTCTCAGGTCTTTAGAATTCTACTACAGCACAGTTTTCAATAAATTACCTCAAAGGTTATGGGGTTTAGCCTAGTTCTTTAAACACCACACAGGATTTTTCACAAAGTTCTTGTGCAACAGGCAGTCATAACCATTATTCGGATTACATCAGGACGAAAGCCATTATCAATCATCAGGAGCCAATTACTACAGACACACCA